AGGGGACGCGCGCGCGCCCGGGGCGGGGCTCCCCGCCCGGCTCCTCCTCCGCGCCGGGCCAGGCGGCCGCGGCCTTTCCCGGCAGCTCGTAGGTCTCTGGAAGAGGAGCAGCTGGAGGAAGAAGCGCGGGGGCTGGGCGGCTCCTAGGGTGCAGCGGCGCCGCAGCCCGCATGGAGCCCAACGTGCGCTTCTGGATCACCGAACGCCAAGTACGGCCCGGGCCAGGCGCGTCTGGGGACGGGGAGGGCGTGGGCCGCGCGGCATGGAGTCGCCGCTGGCCGCGGTGACCTTGGGCAGGCCACATGGTCGCAGCACCCGCCTTCCCATTTCAGACCCCGGGAGGGGACGAAGGAAACCCAAGCGTGCCGGATGCCGACGGCCATGGCTGTTACCGTGCGTGGCCTCTGCCCCAGGCCTCGCAAGCGAGGGTGGCACAGTATCCCCCTGCAGATCGCACGAACTGAGGAGTCACTCCCCACCACTCAGGGGTCTGCCTTCCGCTGCCTAAGCTGTTGTTGGGCATCAGGTTGGAGAGGAACAGGTCCTCCCAGGAGGCCCCAGCTTTCCCGAGTCTGTAGGCTCAGCCACTGGACAGTGAGACTCGGGGCTGCGGGAAGCCGCCATGGCCGGAAGGTAACCTGGGCCCCATCTCACAGTGGGGCTGGGCGGCGCTGTCCAGTAGAAATAGGATAGAAGGTGCATAGGTAATTCCAAATTTTCTAGTAGCCACATTAAAAAACGTGACTTTTAAAATTTAAATTTTAATAATATATTGCATTTAGCCCAACAGATATAAATATTAACATTTCAACATGTAGTCGATATAGAAAATTATGAATGAGATATTTTACCTCCTTTTCTGTAGGAAGTCTTCGAAATCCCGTGTATGTTTTTACACATACAGCACATCTCAATTTGGCCTGGCCACATGTGGCTAATTGGACAGCACAGTTCTAGAGTGTTCTCTTTCAGCCTTTACCTAAAGTAGAGCCTAGCCTGGTTCTCTTAGGTGGGGATGTTGAGGAAGGACAGGGTACTCAAGGTGTCCTGGCAGAGCCAGGCCTCAAAGCTGAAACCACTGCAAAATTTGGAGACTTTTAGGAGCAAACCATGCCTGCTTTCTCCATATGTGAACTGCCTTTATTGAGCCTTCACTGGGGTGTCTGGTTCTTTATGACTAGAGTTAAGCCTTATAACCACCACAGGAGGGTGAAGAAACAGATTCTGAGACCTTTCTAGGTAGTGCTTCAAGGTCATATGTGGGGTGTCAGCATAGGCCCGTTTGACCCCAAAGTCTGGGCTTTTAACCCTCAAGAGCACTTTGATATTGGAGTGGTTAAGAGCACAGACCTTTGGGTCATTTTCTGGTTGGGTTTCCTTGAATCCATTCGTGAGTCCTTGGAAGCCTCAGTTTCCTCACCTGTAAGATGGGGATGTTGTGAGGATTCCAGGAGATGCTGCAAGAGGAAGGCCCTATTAGGTTCTCAAAAATAATGTTGACTCTGCTGTTATTACCGTGTATCTTGGTTTTTCTGCTGCCATTAACCTCTCTGGTGCTCTTGCCCCTCTTAAGTCTTTTATTCAAAGATTTCTTCAGTGGACAGAATTATTGGATCCTACAAATTTGGTCGTTTCAATTGTAAGTATTTTCTTGTTTTCAGAGATAGTGAATTTCACATTTTATTCTGAAACGTGATGACTGTGTGTCCCTTTTGAAAGAAGCTGAGATAACAGAATCCATATATATTATCATGTTTTTATTCCTTGTGAATGAGCTTGTTGGATTGGAAGGGTGGTACATAAAAGCAGACATCTATCTAACAGGTAGTAACAAAGGGGATCCAAACAAACCTCCCTGGTAATGGAGGACAGACTGGCAAAGCTAGCTGCAGACCTTGATCTAGGGTTCTAAGGGCAAGGTATAGCAAGGAATTGGGGGAGGTTGTTTAGAGAAGGCAGGGAGGGAGGGAGGGAGGGAGGGCCAGGGAGGAAATGTCAGGAAGAGTGGACTGTAAGCAAAATGGGGGAGGGGAGGGCCAGGTGGGCCAGGTCACCCAGTTACTAGGGTTTGTTGTTTTTTTTTCTGCCGTGCTGCACAGCATGTGGGGTCTTAGTTCCCTGACCAGGGATCGAACCCGTGTCCCCTGCAGTGGAGGCGTGGAGTCTTAGCCACTGGACTGTCACGGAAGTCCTACTGGGGCTTTTATTTTAATTCAGGT